ACATGTGTCCTTTTGATTTTCTTAAAACTTCTTTCTTGCTCACCTTTCACGCCATTCTCAGCATCCTTCTGTAGAACTACGTCTCTGTCTCTAGTCTACTCTTCCGCAACGAAATTGTTTAGCATTCACTGCCATGAAAAAGAATAGTATTACATAGTTGTTCAACATTCATTTTTCGTTATTTTTTCCATTGTAAGTTATATACTTCCCATCAAGGCTTTCATATGGATGCCATAAATGGCGTCAAAGCCGTTCAAGATATCTGTGAGCTGTATACAACCGCTTTCTATTGTAGTATAGTGCTACTGAGCTCAAATGAGGTGGCGAACACAGACACATACATACATACATACATACATACATACATACATTGAAACAAAGACCTGATATCACAGAACAGAAATATTGATTTAAATAAACATTATTTTTTTTTTAAATATCCAAACCTAGGCTGCCTTTCGGCCAATGCATCATCAGGGACCGATCGTTGGCAACTTTTAACTCATTTGAATTGATAAGAGATAGTATTGAAACACACTTAAAATTAGGAAATAGGTAAAATTCAGAGAAAAGAAACAAATTTACGATTAAAATATGTAAATAAAGAAAAAATATTTTATCCAGTGGAACATAAAAAGGAAAAATAAAGCTCACATATCTCTGAATAAATTCAAGGATCATAAAAAATTCTCCTTCTGCTTGCATAGTACAGGTTGGAATAATTTTAAGCATAAAGCTTCCAAAATTAATAAATGATGTTTTGATCTACCTGTATGCAAAATGGAAAACAAGTCAGTCGAAAAACAAGATGAGCATGACTCATTATCTAATATGTGTTGTCCAATTGAAAACTCATGCGCTGATTGCAACACATGAGAATGATCACAAGAATGTAATCTAATATACCTAGGAATATGTTGGCTTATTCTCGACTCTAACCTGAGGCTCGTCCGTACTAAATATTCAGCCTCACTGACATATATATATATATATATATATATATATATATATATATATATATATATATATATATAGCATAATGAGAACTCACGTATACTTTCTTAATATGTATATATAGAAAAAGTTGCAAATTAAAAAAAAATAATAATGTTCTTTGATGAAAGTATTTATTTACGCTACTTTGTAAACAAACAGTGATTTTAATTTATTTGTAACAAACAGTTATTTCTGAAGAAAGATTGAGGTCAATCTGAAATATCATATATATATATAAATAAATAAATACTTTCATAAAAAACATTATTATTTTTTTAATTTGCAACTTTATATATATATATATATATATATATATATATATATATATATATATATGTGTGTGTGTGTGACGTCGTCCCCGGTCGCAGCGTCGACTGTGTCGTTCGATCCCGTTCGCGGCGCCAATTGTGACGTCACGTGCCCCAGGCTCTGATATCCTGGTCACGGACAGCACCAGTTGTGACGTCTTTTGTCGCGGCGTCAGCTGTTCGCTCCTCGCTGCTCCAAACGTGGTTCTAACCCTTTGGTTAGATTGATACCAACCTCGTCGTTCTCAACCCGCTTCCAACGCCTGGTTACCAGGGTAACTGCACTGATCTCCGGTCTGCCTACCCACGTTGTGACTAGATCTTGACAGACGAGATCAAACAGGGCTTGGGGCCGTAATGCAAGTTGAGTCTAACGAGGGTGATAACACACAATTATGTATAATAAAAAAAAAAAAAAAAAAAACTCACAAGGTCCAACGTATCAAGAAAAAGGTAACAAACTTTTATGTCTCTTTGCTCGATACATAGGACTATGTCTACTTCCCGACCCGTTCTGTGGATATGGCACGACGCTTTTACGAGGCAACTTTAAGGCTTCCAGTTGTCTGCTCTCTAAGAAATTTGTGTTTCGGCGTGTCTGATTTTAAGTCGCTCTTCAAACTACTCGTTCTTGGTTGAAGAAGAGTCCAGAAGTGTGCGTGAATCTTGGTTAGCTATCTTGACGCGGTTTCAACACTGGGCGCTCATCTCTGCTTGTCGTTCACGGCTCAAACTCAAACTCAAACTCTCTCGCCGTCCGCTGTCAAAACTTCTTCTCTTCAGAGTCTGAATTATTGGTCACTCATCTCCGCCGTCAGTGCGCGAATTAACTTCTTCTCTTCAGCTTGCTCTGATTCCAACTTCTCCACTTAGGCCAAACGAGCTGCTTCCCTTCGGCCAAACGAGCTGGCCTCTGTTGCCCGCTAGGGGGGGGGGATCCGGCCCGCCGTCCGCGGCTGATCTGATTTCTATCGGTTGGGGTCCCGCTTTTATTGACGCAGTCAAAACTGGGGTGGGTCTGTTTGGCGTCGGGGATTCTCTTTTGATAATTCTAAGTACGTATCCACCCTTCTTATTTCTGGTTAGGGATATTCCATTTTCGGTAACTCACCTTCACTCCCACCTCCTTATTGTGTCTCTGAGGGCGTATACCAGCTTCCCCGCTTCTTCGTATCGGCCCCTCACACTTACACTTCTGACAAAGGCGTCGACCGATTCTCCTCGTGCGTCACGTGACCGCTCTCGGCCAATGAGGTCCTGGTCGGGTATCTTTCCTCCTCCTTCGTGCGCCACGTGATCTTATTTAGCCAATGATGTCCTGGTCGGGTATCTTTCTCCTCCTTCGTGTGTCATGTGATCCCATCTAGCCAATGACGTCTTTAGTCGGGCGTGGACAATCCGTGGCTTTGTTCTGGGGGAAGAAACACCTTGCTTAAAAAAAAATAAAAATTTAAATCGCCCTTATCATAAGCGACTGCGATGACACCTTCGGCATTTTAACACGTGGTATTTGTCAAGCAGTTTATCGCTAATTGGATACGACCTAAGAAAGGGATTTCTCAGACTTGTTGGCGTTTCCGTGAACGAATAAAAATATTTCACTCTTTTTTCCCGGCCAAAGACCCGATAATAAAAATTTTCATTATCTCAAAAAAACATTTTCAGCGAACATCATCTTGTGTGGCTTTTTCCAATTCTGGAAAATGTCTGTGTTTTCGTATTAATGGTTTGTCTTCATATCCTTAGATACACTTCCCACCTGTTACCTATCATATTTTTCATTGTCTCTAAACTTCGTTTCTTCAACCATTTGATAACAAACTTCCATTTTTCGTGGACACGGAAGTAGGTCAGGTGCTTGACCTGGATATCTTCCGACATCTGTTATGTATCAGTCGAGCGCGTGTGTGCTCGCTCATGACCTGTTTTCGTATTATTTATTTTTCTCCTTTTTTTTCTTCTGTCTTCTCTTTCTTTCTCCCAGATCGCTTGAATGTAAAGAAAGAATTATTCCTAACCCCGAAATATTTTTCAGCCCTAAATAATTATCAAATGGTTGACAAACCGTAAAAAACAAATCATATATTTATGAATATTTCTTTTCAGCTTGCCAACTATGCATGGTGTCACATATATATATATATATATATATATATATATATATATATATATATATATATATATATACTTTATTGTTCGATTTGCGGCGGTGAGTACAGTGAGGAAGAATCACAGAAGTTAGGATTACGCACCCAAAAATTGACAAATCTTTGCTGAAACTCTAGCCAGTCACTCTGTCCAGATCAAGAATCAGGCCGGTTAAATAACATTTGGACACCTACGCAACTTCACTGGCTACGCCTTCTTCCGATATGCCGCCTACGCAAGCATGCATTTCATCCGCTCAGCACACCTTTTCGACCTGTTTATTCAAGGTTCAGGACATCTGTGCGCCCCACTTATTTTAGCCACCGGATGCATTTTCTGTTTATGATCACCGGTTCCGATATTCGCTCACACGCTGATGCAGCGGAAGTAGAACCAAAGGTGTTTCCTCAACCGATATCCAACACTAAGATCAATGGTTAAAAGTGGTTTTGAGAGAGTGAAGCTTATGAGTCTTCGAGAAGACGATACTTCTTCGAACTTTGCGAACTGGCGCTACAGAATCCCACCAAAATGTTGTATCGCATGTAACTCAATGAGAAAATAATAACAAATTCAAGATTCCAAACTTCTTCAAATCACAAGTTAGAAAGGAAACTTCCATCAACACTTGAAAGAGTGATAATAGCTACTGGCCATAGTTTTAAGATAAATATTTTATAATTTTTAACTGGGAGTAGTGCAATCTGCTCGGTCAATGAATACCGAATGCTTCCTTATAAGGAAATGTTTACTATTACCATTACAATTACCATTGAATCTGCTATTTTCAGTGTTGGAATATTTGGGTATACTGATGTACTAGTGAGCCAGTCAAAATGAGCTGACTTATTTTATAGTTCACCAATAGAAGGGTTAACCAATCAGAAGGCTTAGAATATTCAATGCGACGTGTATAAAGGGGGCCATGTTTTTTTCCCGAATATTCACTGCCAACCTCTGATATCGAAGACTGAAGAATTATGGAACCGCTGCTGGCGAGTGTTAATCTTTAACGTTGTTTCATTGAACAGATTACATACTGCGCTGTATTCTATATTTATAGACTTGGCGAACATGGTCAACATTCAGTTCGTACTCGCATCTTGGATTGTCCCTCTTGTTAACAACTAAATATGTCTTCTTAAATTTGACGTTTGCGCCATTGTTCTCACTTTCCAATCTGCTATTTTCAGTTCGTACTTACACCTTGGATTGTCCCTCTTGTTAACAACTAAATATGTCTTCTTAAATTTGATGTTTGCGCCATTGTTCTCACTTTCCTTTACTAACTTGTCTAGGTGTCCCTGCAATTCAGTGGCATCTGCGTATCAGCAGAACAACATATGATACACAGATGATACGCATGACTTAATGAAAAATGTTTATGTCAACAACCATGGAATTTCCACGGGTATAACCAATAAATATTATTCGCCTAGGTTTAATGTCAGACATTTAGCACTTTTCTACATTTAGGACATCATAAATAGTAAGAACGGCCATTTACTTTGATAGGATATCAAACGACTACTTAATCAGCTTCGTTCTCTAAGCCTTGAGATTTATCGGCAATATCGATTTATGAACAAATGTAGAGATGAATATTACTGCGACAGATAGATAAATTAAAAAAAGGAAATGATCAATAAAATAGAAGAAAAAAAACATAGAAAATAGAGAAGAAAGAGAACCAAAAAGAAATAACAAAGAACTGGCAGAAAAGGGAAAGAAAGAAAGAAAGAAAGAAAGAAAGAAAGAAAGAAAGAAAGAAAGACTAAAATGGAACTATGGAAAAAGAAAGAAAGAAAGAAAGAAGTAAAAAACAAAGATAAGGAATAAAGACGCTACAGAACGAAAAATGAATAAACAAAAATTAAATAAATTAAAAAATGAAAAAAAACGAAAGAGTTGAAAAGAAATAAAGAAAGAAAAAAGAATAAGAAATAAAGAAAAAAGGAGGCAATAAAGAAGGAAAAAAATTACCGATAAAAAAATAAGTGAAGCTACGAAACGAAAAATAAATGAAAAAAAATAAGATAAATTAAAAAGAGAGAAAAAGGAAAGAATTGAAAAGAAAGAACGAGAAAAAGAAAGAAAGAAAAAACAATAAGCAACAATAGAAAAGAAAGAATCTACGAAACGAAAAATAAACAAAAAATAATTAATATTAGTTAAAAAAAGAGAAAAACGTAAGAGAACGTCAGAAAAAAAAGAAAGAAAGAAAGAATGAAAGATTGAAAGAAAAATGAAAAGAAATAAAAAGGAAGGAAAGAAACTACAAAGAAAGATAAAAAAAACTATTGAACAAAAAATAAATTTAATAAAATGATAATTTAAAAAAGGAGAAAATGAAAGAGTTGAAAACAAAGAAAATGTACGAACAAAGATTAAAAAGAAAGAAGCTAGTGAGCGAAAATGAGATAAATAGAAATATGATAAATTCAAAAGGGAGAAAAAGGAAAGAGGAGAAAGAAAGAAAAAGTAAGAATAAAGCATAGAGAACCAAGTGAATAAAGAAAGAAAGAAAGAAAGAAAGAAAGAAACGTAGGTTTGTTTTGTTTTGTTTTACGGCATATCAACCTCAATGGATTATTTAATGCCGACAACATTTTTATTGCTGGTAATATTTTTTCCAGAAATGTATTACTGGTACTATTTATTTTCTTCAAAAATGTATTGCTGGTAAAAATGTATTTCTGGTATTAATTTTGCCACAGAAAATTTATTGCTAATATTAAAACCTATTTTTACAATTTAATAGTGTTTTTATCTCGGTTTGGGTTTAAACTATTTACCCATAGTTGATACCCTAACAGGTGCTACCACCATGGGCCAGGATGGACCCGGTACCACCAGAAATGGTTTCACGCTCTTCAAAACCTTCTGATCTGATGCATTACTGAAGGATGTAGTTTATCGTCTTACCCAGGATGCGGATGTAGTTTGTCGTCATACCCAGGACGAAAAAAGAAAGAATCGAGCAATGTGTAAATGTGTAAAAAAAAGAAAAAAAAAGGTGAAAAGAAAGAAAGATGCAAGTAAACGAAAAAGAAATAAAAAAAAGATAGATAATAAAGAAAATGGAAAAAGAGATTTAGGACAGAAGAGAAATGAAAGAAATAAACGGAAAATAAAAGAAAGAAAAAGAATAAATCCCAAGTCGACGAAATAAAGATACACAAAAAGAACGAAAGACTTGAAAAAGAAAAAAAGAAAGAAAGAAAAATTAAACAAAAAATAAATAAAAGAACTTATCAAAGGATATAAATTGAATGCGTGGGAAAGAAAGACAAAAAGAAATTAAAGAAAAAAAAAAAAAGAGAAATGAAGAAAGAACCAATGTGAACGAAAAAAAAAAAAATTTAAAAAAAAAAGAAAAAAAGTAGCCATCAATAAAATAAAATAAAAACAAAAAAAGGAGAGAAAAATTAAGACACCCCAAATGAAAAATTGATTAAAAAGTCAAAAACAAGCCAACGTATATTCAAAACCCTGATAGGATTCTGTAAATGATGGATAGTCAGTTAATGACCCGCTGCACGAAATGCTTTGATCGCCTTAAGTGGAAAATCAGGAACTATTTCCAATCCCCATTTTTTCTCCCATAGACAGAGTTTGAAAAGAATTCTAAATTGATTGTTCGCCTTCCTCAATGCTTTGCACGGATCCGATAATGTGTAATTGATGAAAATGGACGCCCGTAGCTAAACGTTATTAAATTTAAATTAGTAATATAATAGACGCTAAAAATTAAGTGTATTCAGGTTTATTAGAAGATGTACTTACAATGTTTACCAGCAAGTAAAAATGACGACAGAGCACACACGCACAAGCACACACGCACAAGCACACACACAAACACGTGTATGTGAGTTTCTCTATGTGTGTTTTTGCGTGTGTGTTTGCTTGTGTGTGTGTGCGTATGCCTGTGTGTAAAGATGGTGAGATAAAAATTTAAACGGCGCGTTTTACCGAGAACGTCTGCTCTCTCTGGCTTCCTCAGGTTAGAATGAAAGAAAGACAAAACTGGAAAAATGATTAGAGAACTCTGAGGATTAGTGGTGAACATAAATCAAAGAAAATTATATAATTATATTACATTATCCCATCCAATGCCCATACTCAAAAGACGGACTGTCCAAATGTACATATATACATATACACTCATGGATATCTGTGCATATATATGCACACACGAATATACACATAATAGGGCCTTTTTCGTTTTTTTTATGTATATATGTATACATATATACGTACCACTATTTTTATAACTATACCTGTACGCATATATACATGTACATATATATATATATATAATAATTGACTCTCCCGTCGGTTTCGACGTATGAGGATCTGCCAGGTTATTGATTCAGTTATGAAAATTTATGCGATAATCTTAAGTGGCATTTAAGACCAGCTAGTGATTTACAAATGAGGTCACATATTGAGCAAGTATATATATACATATATATATATATATATATATATATATATATATATATATATATTTTTTTTTTTTAGTTTGAGGGTGCGCTTTTTTCCCCGGATTTATCGATGGCATTGAGATGCATGGTTTCTTTGATTTTATATATATATATATATATATATATATATATATATATATATATATATATACTCGACTCTCCCGCCGAATTCGACGTATGAGGGTTAGGCAGATCAGTTCCTAGGAAACAGGACATAAGATCTGATTATAGTGGTGAAGGTTTCGTGGAGGACCATTCACACACACACACACACACACACACACACACATATATATATATATATATATATATATATAAATGAACATATAAGTAAAAACTTAGAGGCGACAGTCTGTTTCATGCTAGATACAATCGTAGGTGGCCTGACGATTGCATCTAGCATGAAACAGACTGTCGCCTCTAAGTGTTGACTTCTATGTTCATTTTATATTTACACACGCTCTATCTCTGATATTGAACACTTTATCCCATGAATATAACACACCTTAAAATTATATTTCTTTGTATATATATATATATATATATATATATATATATATATAAATTGCTGAGATCCCTTGACGAGTGGAGAGAGTGATTGCTGGAAGGCCAGCCTACGAATCTCTAATGTCAGCATGCTGAAGTTATCATCAATTAGGTATTTGATAAATTTTATATTTGTAATAATTATATATATGATTCCGACTTTGTTAACAAGACGCTTCTCTGTAGCTGAATGGTACAGCACAGTAAGTGAAAAGTTCGATTCCTGTCGGAGGACGCACATTTTCTACGAAATTTCTCGAACATTCATGACGGTAAATGTAATTAATACTGTTTAATTAAAAGAGAAACAGACCATTTACTAAAATACATTGTAACTATAAAAATAACGTATGAAAAGAAAATATATTAGACAATTGTCGCGCTTAATCCATTTGATTATATATTGTAGTGAATGAGATAATCAAGTACCCCGGAAAAAAGTTCGTGTTTTGTGTGCGATCTGCCGGGGAGGGATTGCCAAAAAGAAAAGTAGTCAGCAAAACTCTTATAGCGACTTACCTCGTCAACCCAAGCGAAAAAGAAACAAGTTCGTCGCATGAGTCGCTATAAGAGTATATTAATATGCAAATTACGGAGCATCCTATCCCGGCTTTCGACGAATGGAAAAAATAGGTTCTGCCGATAAAAGCAGTTGGTGTTGTCGACTCGAGAGGAAAAATTCGGGCAGTTTTGGCTACGGCGTTCGTGAGTTATTTTCCTGACGTGTTACAAGTGATTCTCTTTCTTTGTGTTGTGAAAGCCACAAATTTGCTTTGAGAACGCTTACTCTTCAAGCTATTTCGGCATTTACTTTGTCTCTCGCAAGATGGCGGAAAGACCGTTCGATATAAAACTGATCCCCGAATTCAGTGGTGATACTAGTGGACAGTCTGTGGTTGAATGGATCGAAAAGGTGGAACTGGTCTGCGAATTATGCGAGATATCGAAGATTGATCGGATTCTTCCTCTGCGATTGAATGGCGGTGCCCTTGCTGTGTATAGGCAGCTGAGTAAAGAACAGAAAAGCGACATTGAGCAAATAAAAGCACGCTCTACTAACCGCGTTTGAACTGACCGGTTAGTGGCCTACGACCAATTCCAGGCACGGCGTCTGCGACCTGGCGAGACAGTAGACGTATATTTGGCAGAATTAAAGAAGCTCGCCGTTCCAATCGCACCGCTTCCTGAAGAATGGATGACATGTGCCTTCGTTTCTGGATTGCCCAGTCATGTTAAGCAGATACTCCGCGCATCATCCAGAATGGAAGACCTGACGCTCAATCAATTGTTGACCAGAGCCCGTGCTGTCATGATCGACGAAAAAGAGGCTGATGAACCAGTGGCCGCGGTTATTCAACCAATTGAAGTCAAAGAAGGTCCGACCCCAGCCATTCGTCACCATGGCGTTGCCACCTGCTATCGGTGCTCTGGGCCGAATCATTTTGCCAGAGACTGCCGCTATCAACGCGAAGAAATGCGCAGCGGGTCGGCGCGAAAGGCACGTCTCGATCTACGATGCTTTCAATGTCAGAAAGTAGGTCATATTGCCTCTAAGTGCCGGGAAATGGAATGGGGGACGCGACGTCAGCGCCGGTCTCTTCCCGCACCCGAGCATGAAAGTGGCGCTCCCTGTGATTAAGGTACGCATCAATGGAATAACGCGTACCGCTTTAATAGATTCTGGCTGCTCTCGGTCACTCACCAACGGTTCGATTTGCCGACAGTGGAGCAGACAAAAGATGGACGTACTAACGGCTGATGGAAAGGCTCTCAGAAGCCGGGGAGTTGGAAACATCAAACTTAGTATTAACAACGGTGACCCTGTCACAGTCAGTGTGTTGGTCGTGGACAGCGCGTTATTAGGTTTCGATCTGCTCCTTGGGATGGACATTATTAAGGAGCTGGGCGGCGTACGCATTACAGAGGCAGGCGAAGTCAAGTTTTCTGATCCGCCCATCTGTGCTACTTTGAAGATCAACGAGCCCGACTTTAGCGCAGAGTTCGACCAAAGGACGAAGACATGGACAGCATTTTGGAAATGGTCGGAAAATAACCCACCAGAAAAGTTCCAGAACCGAGTGTCAGAATATTCGGTGCCCGAACGCGTCAAGGAAGAATACCAGCGCGAATTGCAGGTGTGGCTGGATAACGGATGGCTGACTCCATATCCCGAGGAAGAGCTTGGTCCTCCAAGAGGCCTCATCCGTTGATGGCCGTGGTACAAAAGAACAAGGGAAAGGTGCGCCCTGTACTAGATTATAGAGAACTGAACAAACATGTAGACACATACACAGCTCATGCTGATGTGTGTGCACAAAAATTGAGAGAATGGCGAACGAAGGGATCCAATGTCTCTGTGATTGACCTTCGAAAGGCCTAATTGCAGGTACGCGTGCACCGGTCACTGTGGCCATTTCAGACGGTGATTCTTAATGGGACGAGGTACTGCTTAACCCGAATGGG